ATTGTATCGTCTTCTACACGGTGCTCATTGTTGTTTACGAAACTAAGTCCAGGGTTATCGCGCGCTCCCCAGGGTTATGTGCTGGCAATGTGACAACTTCGAAGAGTTCTACTACTGGTTATTCGGATTTCATACATCGTTTTGACCCCGAAGTCTCTTCCTCGGTTCTGCATCATTTATGTCAAGAACAATGGTTTAAGGCTAATGCAAAGCTACTATTAAGGGCGTGTCCAGCTCGTTCATTTCGGGAAATCTAGTACCTCCTCACGATCCGGGGTTCAAAACTGAACACTGTACCTATAAACGAGAGTGCCTTGCTCGAGTCCACCCTTTCTGTCATTCTGGCGCGCGGACACCATCCCCCCACACAGACTTCAACAGTGCAGGGGCCGTGTGGCAACCAAGGTAAACAGTTCCCTCGTCAACCAAAGCGTTAGAATTTTCGCCAGGCCAACACTTCCACTATAGGTTTTGGCAAGTGTCAGGCGGCACATGCGAAATCAAGCTCGCGATACGATGGGCACTCACTGTAGTGGGCAGGACGCGGCTCTGTACCATTGTTCGATGCGCACGCTGATTCCTGTAACGTGCGTCACACGATTCGAGGTACGTGCAGGGGGTGTGCCATATCGTGAACGGGAGCTGATCGTGTCTGGCATTTTTGTAAAACTCAGTGTTACAACTCAAATTGTGGTAACTGAAGGGCTTTACGAACAGTAAATGAACGAGCTGGACACCCCCTAAAGGCTATTGTTCTCAGATCACCGGCACACCAATTTCATCAGTTCCATTTTCCAGAGTTTTTGCCAGACTTCTCTCATCATCGCACTATGCCTCCCAAGAGCTCTCGTGCCAAGGCTGCGGTTGAAGTGGTTTCAGACAAGACGGATCCAGTGCATACGGGAACATCAAGCAAGCTGTCAGATGTTGTCAATAACCTCTCGTCTGAGGCGGAGGTGACTGCTGGCAGGCCTGGTCTCACCATTCAGGAGAAGCTGAAGGCGCTTGCTACAGTGGCTGCCGACGACACCTTCATTGAAGATGATTCTGACGAATAGCTTGAGATTGACGCAGCCAAGGGTCTCTCACTTGTGATCCACAGCGATCCTGCTCTTCTCGATCATTCCTTCCCGTGAAGTCGCGTTGGTTATCTCAACCGTACGGATGCTAATGAATTGTGTTTGGTCGAACCTCCTATCTGACGATGTTCTTGCCACGGTGAACTTTCAGGAGCTGACTTCCGCATATGTGGCGAAGACTCGCTACAGCAGGCTTCAGGTGTCGTTCCTGCAGGAGGAGGATGAGGTGAACATTAAGCAAACGATGGTGGATGCGGGTGGAGAGACCATTCACTGATTTTGGCTTCATCAAGAGGACGCGACCTACATCCGTACGAAGGCAATGAACCAGCAAATGTTGGAGGTTTATGTTAAATATACTAAGTAGTCGGGCCTAGGCTTAGGAGCCTAGGCCACAGGAAGACTAGGACAACGCGCCAAGTACGACCGAGAGTTGAACAGAAACAAGAATTGAGAAAAGGATGGTTGGACTAGCAAGCAGGTTGGTACAAATAGCAAACCCTAAAGGGTTGTACTCACTATTGAGTACCCCACGGCAGGCTAGACAAATAACATACTCTAACACACCCCCATAGTCAAAGTGGGGTACAATCAGCAGAGCAAGCAGTCATAGAGCAGGTTCACATGCACAAGCAAAGCTAGAGGCAGTTGCAGAGGGCAAGTGAGGAGGAGTGATTGTTAGAGGAGAGGAGATAGGAGGCGACGGTGGAAGTTGCAGACACACAGGAGCGGCTGGCTCAGTGGCTACCGAAGCAATGGCCCGGACTACAGGAGTAACCGGCTCCGCGGAGATTGTAGCCTCCTGACAGGAGCAACTGACCCACAGGCGACTGGCGACTACCGGAGATTGTAGCCTTCAGACTACTGGTGCTGCTGGCGACACAACTGCTGCCTCCGCTCAACCTCCGCCAACTTCCCCACACCCCTCTCACACACCCCCTGCTGAAACCCTAGCTCCACTCCCACGGCACCCCCCTTAAACCCTAAACCCTAGGCTCCCACACACCCACCCCCCTCAGCGACAGCTGCAGCAGTGGGAGACAAGGGAGGAGGAACTCACAACCGCCACCCCCACACCCGCCACCCCCATGCTCCGCACCTCACACCCCCACCACCGCGGAATGCACGGCGGAATGGGAGCAATGGGCAGCACAGGGGGGGGGGGGGGGGGGGGAACGGGACGGGCTGCAAGGGCGGGCCGCGGGCTGCCGCAGGGGCGGCTCGCGTTGATCCTGGGGCGGATGCTGCAGGCACGGGCTGCACCAGAGGCGGCTGCTGCAGGTGCGAGCCGCACCAGGGGCGGCTGCTGCAGGTGCGGGCTGCTCCAGGGGTGGCTACTGCAGGTGCGGGCTGCTCTAGGGGCAGCTGCTGCAGGTGCGGGCTGCTCCAAGGGCGGCTGCTGCAGGTGCAGGCTGCTCCAGGGGCGGCTGCTGCAGGTGCAGGTTGCTCCAGGGGCGGGTGCTGCAGGGCCGTGAAGGGCGGCGACGGGGCCGCGAAGGGCGGCGACGGGGCCGCGAAGGGCGGCGACGGGGCCGCGAAGGGGCCGCGAGGGGCCGTAAAGGGCGGCGACGGGGCGGCGAAGGGCGGCGACGGGGCCGCGAAGGGCGGCGACGGGGCCGCGAAGGGGCTGCGAGGGGCCGAGAGGGGCCGCAAAGGGCCGCGAAGGGCGGCGACGAGGCCGCGACTGGCGGCGACGGGGCCGCGAAGGGCGGCGACGGGGCCGCGAAGGGCGGCGACGGGGCCGCGAAGGGGCCGCGAAGGGGCTGTGAGAGGGGCCGCTAAGAGGGCGCGATGGGCCTCTAAGGGCAGGGGACGCGATGGTAGGGCGGCACACAGGGCGCGCCTCGTGCAGGGGCGATGCCCGCTCCGGGCAGGAACCCTAATTTCGGCGCCGTGCACCACGGGGCGCGCGGCGGAGAGTGCGGCAGCGGAAGCAGGTGGTGGGTCTATACACAGGAAGGCGGCAGACATGCCGCCCTCTGATACCATGTTAAAAATACTAAGTAGTCGGGCCTAGGCTTAGGAGCCTAGGCCACAGGAAGACTAGGACGAGTCGCCAAGTACGAGCGAGAGTTGAACAGAAACAAGAATTGAGAAAAGGATGGTTGGACTAGCAAGCAGGTTGGTACAAATAGCAAACCCTAAAGGGCTGTACTCACTATTGAGTACCCCACTGCAGGCTAGACAAATAACATATTCTGACAGTTTATTTCAAGGATGTACCTGCCGATATCCCGCCGGAGCTGGTCAGGGAGGTGCTGGTGAAGCACCCGCTCAAGGTCCGGAAGCAGTCCACGTTTAGCGAAGGTCAATGCTTTCACCACATACTTCACCCTATCACTGGTGCTGACACGGACAAGATTAAGGGAATGGTGGAGATAAGCACCGCTGGCGTCACGAGTTCCGTCATCACCTGCTGAGAGGCACGAATCTGTTCGCTCACTACCCTTTGTTGTCCTGTCCGCTCGGTGGTGGTCATCATTATGAAATTTTTCATAATGTTTTCGTCACAGAGCGTCAGATTAACATAGGGAAGTGGAGTTTGACTATGGGTCGGGTGCATAGGATTAATGGTAACTGCATCTCACCTTTTTGCAGTTGTTGTTGCTCAGTTTGTTCACCCATGACGGTTGCTGACACCATGCTTGTCTCTCGCAGCTGCTTCTCTCTGCGCTTCCCCGCTTGTCACCCCGCTCCTTTTGGATGCGGCTTTTGTTGTGATCTCCACTGGGAGCAACCGGGAGGAGTGGTTCTGCACTCTGAGCACCTGCGGAAAGGCACACGGCAAGTTGGGCATGCGCCAGATCATCTCACCTCGTCGAGCCATTTGCTGGGCCTGGAGAAGTTGGGAGCAGCCACTCGTCGCTCACTGGAGAAGCTGAACCTTCATGTCATTCGCAAGGAGTTTGGGATCTGAGTCTGGATCTGAGCCTGAGGTCCATCTGTCTGGGAAGGAGCTGTGAAGCGATAGTAGTTGGAGTAGCAGTAGTCTATATCACCAGCCTGTGGATGGGAAAAGGCTTAACAGCAGTGATTAAATGAGTACAAAAAGCTTGTTATCCTTTGCAGGCCTGAATGTCAACGGCCTGGGGGATGGAAATAAGCAACAGCGCACAAGGTACTGGATTAAACTAGCTGCTGATGTTATTGTGCTCTCGGAATGACCACCCATACTGGGACACCTTAAGACAGCCACAGATCCTGGTGGCCTCACCTACTGCTAAAGCCGGTTGGGTTGCTTTGGTCTGCCGGAGGCATGGGTTGTCACTGCATAACACTCTTATTCACCCATCCGGTCGGCTGATAGCTGCTGACATCCGCTACGACACTTTTTGTATTACCTTAGTTGCAGTTTACTTCCCGGCGGATGCTGCCGATCGAAAGTGTTTCATCCGAAGAGTGCTGGGCCCGGTGATTGACTCGCTGCAGCCTACCGCTCACCTGCTTGTGTTGGGGGATTTCAACCTGGTGGAGGACCCCCTACTTGACAGAACATCAAAGAAGGGTTCGGTTAAAGAAAATGAAGAGCTTTACCAATAGTGTGGCGCCTTCTGTGCTTCGGACGCCTTCAGGATTCTGCACCCCTACAAGAGAGAGTTTACCTTCTACTCTTGTGCCAACCAGTCAAGTTCCCGCATCGACCGGGCACTTATCTTGCAGTCGTTGTTGCCGCATCTTGAGTACACCTCGCACATCATGCCGACTGATCCCATCTCCGATCACAGTTTCGCAGTCAAGGCAGCATTCAGAATGATCACGCGGGTGTAGTTGGGCCCGGGTCTCTGGCGGCTTCCTGCATACATGGTTGACAGACCGGGTGTTGGGAGAGTGATCGAGGCAGTGGAACAGCAGGTGGCTTCCTGCGGTGACAACTTTGAGTTGCTGATTTTGAGGCTTAATACTCGCCTGAGAGCGTATGCGATGGAGGAGCGGAAGAGGGTCAGGGCTACCATGGCTCACCTTCAGCGTGAGGTCGCGGCTCTGAAGCAGGCGTGGATGGGTGACCCGAGCTGTGCTCGCCTGAAGGGGTTGCTGGACGAAAGGGAGTCGCAGCTCGAAGGTTACCAGCTGGTGCGGCAGGAGCGTCTGCACATGATGGCAGGAATGAAAGAGGAGGTCTCGGGGGAGGTCGCGTCTCCATTTTTGTCTGCAAAGATTGAAGCACGGAAGGAGCGTACACAGATCTCGCAGTTGGACGTTGGAGGGCAGCAGGCTGCTGACAACAAGGGTATTTTAGGTGCAGCATCGCAGTACTACAGGAATCTGTTCGGGACGGACAGGCGGCAGACGGAGACTGCTTGGTTTCTGGCTGACGGGAAGAAGTTGTCACAAGCGCCGGTGATCGACGTGTCTGCAGACTGGACGGAGAAGGAGGTGAAGCGTGCTTTCCGTTCGATGGCAAAGAACAAGGCTCCTGAGAAGGACGGGCTGTTGCAGGAGCTTTTCGAGGTGCACTGGGATGTTTTAGGCAAACATTTTATGAAGTTGTGGAGGGTTTCACTGCGTTGGCATTGCTCCCGACCAGCACAAAGGACGCCATCACCATCCTGCTGCATAAGAAAGGGGGGCGGGATCAGTTAGAGAAATACCAGTCGATTACGCTGCTGAGTTTCACCTACAAGGTGCGGGCGCGGGTGGTTGCAGACAAAATGAAGAGTGTGTTACATGAAGTGATCTCTTCGGAGCAGTATGGCTTCTTACCAAGTCGAAGGCTGTCAGATGCGGTGGGCCTTGTCACGGATGTTATTGAGGCGGCTAAGAACAAGGATGAAGACTGGTATCTTCTGCTAGTGGACGTTAGGAAGGCTTTCGACTTGGTCTCGAGAGACTTCTTGTTCTCGGTGCTAGAAAGAATGGGTTTCCCTAGCCGGTTCATAGTCTGGTTGCGCGACCTGCACAAGGACACACGTACAAGCCTGTTAATCAACAGGTGGATGGGCGAGGCGGTGGAAGTGGTGTCGGGAGTGCGCCTAAATTGCCCGCTGGCGCCGTACCTTTTTCTGTGTGTGGTCGAGCCGTTGGCGCAAGAGGCTGCGAACCGAAAGCTGGGTCTCACGAGGGGCGACCAGCGTCTGGCGTACATGGGCTACGCGGATGGCACAACTCTGTTCCTGCAAGGGGAGGTGCAGATAGAAAAGGCTGAAAAGCTGTTAGAGGACTTTGAAGAGGAGTCAGGCCTGGCTACGAACAAAGAGAAGTCGTCGATCTTACCTCTGGGGAGGAACCTGGATAAGCAGTCCGACAGAACTGACGGCTTCAAATGGGTGAAGTCGAATGAAGCCGAGCGGCTTCTGGAGGTGTGGGTGACGCTGGCCGGGTGTTGCGCTCCCACCTGGGAAAACGTTGTTGCGTAGGTGAAGGAAAAACCAAGACAGTGGGAGGCACAACATCTCACGATAGGGGCAAGGGCGGCGGTGATCAACTCTATATTTCCCGAATAATATTTTTCCAGGCGCAGGTGTCCCCGTCGCCGGTGGACGTATGGGAGAGGATCCTGAAGCTAACGCATGATTTCATGTCTGGTAACCGGGCTACCACGGACAAGGGTTTCATTCTGTGGAGCCGTGAGCTGCTATACATGGCGAGAGAGGACGAGGGTGTGGGTGTGTGTGACATGGAGATTGCGCTCACCTTCCTCACGGCTACGCGAATTGGTCTGCTTCTTACCGAGACCAACGTGCTGAAGCGAGACATAATGCTTCAAGCAGGGGACCTACCGCTGGGGACGGACCCTTCGTAGCGCATGTGAAGCTCCTGAAATGCTGGCGCGGGAAGAGCGAGAGGTGGAGGTTGGCCTGCGGGGATTTTATGCAGTCGCTGCTAGCAGAAACGCCACCAGAGCGGACGAGGGAAGAAGCTGAGTTGGAGCGGATAGTTTTAAATCAGCATATTCTGCTAAACGGCAAGACCCCGGTAGGCGGTCAGAAGGCAGCATCGAAGCTGTGGGAGGTCCGGTTGAAGGATCTGCTGGCTCCGCATGGCGCGGGCGGTCGTAGGGTCAAAGATGTGAAAACCCTATCGAGGGAGCTGAGGGGCTCGAAACAGGCAAAACCGGCTCTTCGGGCCTGGGAGGTAGTGCAGTAGAGCTGGAAGGAGATCAAAATCTGTGACTCCCTTGTGACGCCTAACAGGCCGCGGGATGTGCTGCTGAGGATTCACAGTCTCAACCTGCAGGTGGGGGAAAGACTCTCTTTCTTAAGTGGCAAGCCGGTCTGCCCGCACTGTGGGGAAATGGAAACGCTGGAGCACTGTCTTTTCACCCGCCCGCGCATACAACTAGTGGTGGTGGCAGTCAGGCGTGCTATGCGCATACTGAACTGTCAAACTCATATGCTATAGTCTGTGTAGGCTGTAGTGGGGTAGACAATATGGGGTAAAACACTTTTAGGTTTTCCTACTTGTACCCACCTACTTGCTAGTTCATTCATTTCCTCGTTCTTTCACATGGTATAGAACAGGTTCCCTAGTGGGAACGTTTCCTAGGGCCCACCGAAAATCATTTTTTTTCCTGCCCGGAGCGCTCTTCGCCCCTGCCCGAGTCGCGCCTCGTGTGCCTACCCTCCCGTCGCGTCCCCTGCCCTTAGTGGCCCGCCGCGCTCCCCTACGGCCCCGTAGCGGCCCCTCTCACGGCCTCTCACGGCCCCTCTCACGGCCCTTCGCGGCCCCTTCAGGCCCCTCATGGCCCCTTCGCGGCCTCCCTTCGCGGCCCCTTCGCGGCCCCTTCACGGCCCCTTCGCGGCACCTTCTCGGCCCCTTCACGGCCCCTTCACGGCCCCTTCGCGACCCCTTCACGGCCCCCTTGCGGCCCCTTCGCGGCCCCTTCGCGGCCCCTTCACGGCCCCTTCGCAGCACCTTCACGGCCCCTTCACGGCCCCTTCACGACCCCTTCGCGGCCCCTTCACGGCCCCCTCGCGGCCCCTTCGCGGCCCCTTTGCGGCCCCTTCACGGCCCCTTCGCGGCACCTTCACGGCCCCTTCACGGCTCCTTCACGGCCCCTTCGCGGCCCCTTCACGGCCCCCTCGCGGCCCTTCGCGGCCCCCCCTCGCGGCCCCTTCGCGGCCCCCCCTCACGGCTCCCTTCGCGGCCCCTTCGCAACCTCGCCCCGTCGCCAGTCGCGGCCCCGCCGCGTCGCCCCCGCCTCGTCGCGTCGCCCCTGCGGGACCCGCGAGGCGCGGCTCCTGTGCGTCGCGACACCCCTGCGGGACCCGCGTGGCGTCTCCCCTGCCCGCCGCGGCGTCCTGCCCTAACCCGCCCCTGGAGCAGCCGCCACTGCAGCAGCCGCCCCTGGAGCAGCCGCCACTGCAGCAGCCGCCCCTGCAGCAGCCGCCACTGCAGCAGCCGCCCCTGCAGCAGCCGCCCCTGCAGCAGCCGCCCCTGCAGCAGCCGCCCCTAGAGCAGCCGCCACTACAGCAGCCGCCCCTGGAGCAGCCTCCCCTACAGCAGCCGCCCCTGGAGCAGCCGCCCCTAACGCAGCCGCCCCAGGAGCAGCCGCCACTGCAGCAGCCGCACCTGGAGCAGCCACCCCTGCAGTAGCCGCCCCTGGAGCAGCCGCCCCTGCAGCAGCCGCCCCTGGAGCAGCCGCCCCTGCAGCAGCCGCCCCTGGAGCAGCCACCCCTGCAACAGCCGCCCCTGGAGCAGCCGCCACTGCAGCAGCCGCCCCTGGAGCAGCCGCCCCTGCAGCAGCCGCCCCTGGAGCAGCCGCCACTGCAGCAGCCGCCCCTGGAGCAGCCGCCACTGCAGCAGCCGCCCCTGGAGCAGCCGCCCCTGCAGCAGCCGCCCCTACAACTGCCGCCCCTGGAGCAGCCGCCCCTGCAGCTGCCGCGGAGCCCTCGCCCTACAGTGGTAGCGGCCTCGCCGTTGCCGCCGTCGTACGCCTGCCCTTCTCGCCACTGGTGAGCACTGCCCTGCCCGTACTGCTGTTACTGCTGCTCTTGCTGCTACTGCTCTTTCTACTGCTACTGCTGCTCCTGGCGTGGCTAGATGCAGCTCCAGCGTCGTCCGCGTGAGTCCCTCACCCCCCAACAGCTTCGTGAGTGGTACGCTAGTTGGGGCTATAGGGGTGGCCGCGCTGCGACTACTGCTATTGCTACTGCGGCTACCACTGCTCTTGCTGCTCCTGGCGTTGGCCAGAGGCAGCTCTAGCGACGTCCGCGTGAGTCCTTCACGCCCCAGCAGCTTCGTGAGTGGTACGCTACTTGGGGTTGTCGGGGTGGCCGTAGTGGGAGTCGTCCTGGAGTGAGTAGTTTGACAGATGCTTGCAATGGCCAGGTGCAGCTGCAGCGTCGTCCGTGCGCGGTCCTTTCGCCCCAGCAGCTTCGTGAGTGGTACGCTCAGCGTGACGGGTCACGAGGTACTGCTCGCTGTCCGTACGTCATTCGCACTGGTGCTCGGACTGGTCAGCCTTGCGGGACGTTTGGTCACGCAGAGTCCCGCTGCTTCGCCCGTCTGAGCGACGCCTGGCGTACGGAGTTTGGCGACGCGGCTTAGCTCCCCGATTGGGTGGAGCTGCTTAGGCTGCGGGTAGATGTCTATACTCTTGACTATGATGCTATCCAAACTGCCATGTATGCATTGCCTACTAGTGATGAGGGTGACTGTTACCTGTGTGTTCCGCCTGACCCGGGAATTGAGGCTGCTGCTCTAGGTGCTGGTGAGGCTGCTGCTCTAGGTGCTAGTGCGTCTGCTGCCCCAGATGCTGGTGAGTCTCCTCTCTCAGGTACCACGTCGGCTCAGGCCTTACACACCTTCACCCTTGACTCGGATGCTTCCCGCTCCTTCTTTCGAGACCGCACAACGCTTACGCCGCTTAGTCGGCCGGCTGCGGTCTCCCTGGCGGACCCCTTTGGGGGTCCTGTCCTTGCTAGCTTCTCCACTGTCTTACTGTGTCCGGTAGCCCCCTCTGGCACCCTGTCAGGTCTCTACCTCCCCTCGTTCTCTACGAACTTGGTGAGTGGTGCTGATCTACAGGATCGGGGGGTTGACCAGTTCACTCATGCGAGTCAGCGGGTGACCCACTGTACGTGTGCTCGGACGGGCCGACACTTGGCCACGTTTACCCGTCGCCCGGGGTCAAGCCTATACACATTGACTACTGAGTCTCCTCCGGTTGCTGCGTCTGGTCAGGTAGCTGCGTCGAGTCAGGTGTTTGCTGCAGCGTCCAGGTCTGGTCCTGAGTCTGCTCCCTGCTCGTGTCGTCTCCTATCCCACCAGACTCTCTTTTGGCACCACCGCCTTGGTCATCCCTCCCTGCCTCGTCTCCGAGGCATGGCCTCCCGTGTCCTTGACTCTGGTCTCCCCCGGTCCCTCCCTCCCCTCCCTCCGGGGCCTGCCCCTACCTGCGTTCCCTGTGTCGAGGGGCGGCAGCGCGCCGCCCCTCACTCCTCCGAGTTTCCTCCGACAGAGGCTCCCCTGCAGACTCTTCACATGGACGTGTGGGGCCCCGCCCGCGTCCGTGGCCAGGGTCATGAGCGTTACTTCCCTTTGGTGGTTGACGACTACTCGCGTTACACCACGGTGTTCCCCTTGCGCAGCAAGGGTGACGTCACTGAGGTGTTGATCGACTGGATCCGCGCCGCTCGTCTCCAGCTCAGAGAGAGTTTCGGCTCGGACTTTCCAGTTCTGCGTCTGCACTCTGACAGAGGCGGGGAGTTTTCCTCTGCCCGTCTGGGAGCCTTCTGTCGGGCACAGGGCATCCGCCAGACCTTCACGCTTCCGGCCTCTCCACAGCAAAATGGGATTGCTGAGCGCCGCATTGGCATGGTCATGGACGTCGCTCGTACGTCCATGATCCATGCGGCTGCTCCCCATTTTCTGTGGCCGTTTGCGGTTCAGTACGGAGCGCATCAGCTCAACCTTCAGCCCCGGGTCTCCTTGCCTGAGACCTCCCCCACCTTGCGGTGGACGGGGAAGGTTGGCGATGCGTCTGCGTTTCGGGTCTGGGGATCTCAGGCGTTTGTCCGTGACTTGTCTGCGGACAAGCTGTCCCCCGTGCTGTTCCCTGCGTCTTCCTTGGCTTCCCCCCTGACGCGCCTGGTTGGCAGTTTTACCACCCCACCTCGCGCCGTGTTCTGTCCTCCCAGGACGTCACCTTTGACGAGTCGGTGCCTAACTACCGTCTCTTCCCCTACCGCACTGCGCCCCTCCCCCCGCCGCCGCTCTTCCTAGCGCCAGGTCCTCCCCCGGTAGACCCTCTCCCCCCTCAGGGTCCTGCCCCGTCAGGTGTGTCCCAGGTAGACGCAGTCGAGCCTGTCGAGGTAGCTGTTGACTCTGGTGCTGCTAGGGGCGCTGAGCCTGCGGGTGCCGGGTCTGGGGGTGCTGAGCCTGGGGGTGCGGAGCCTGGGGGTGCTGAGTCTAGGGGTGGGGAGCCTGGGGGTGCTGAGCCTGGGGGTTTGGAGCCTGGGGGTGCTGGGTCTGCTCGTGTGGCCTCTGGCGGTGCTTCGTCGAGGCGGGAGCTACTCTCTCCGTAGGAGTTGCGCGAGTGGTTTGCCCGGCGGTGGAGCCGTGCTGCTGGAGCTGGAGGTACTACTATTGCTGCTGGTCCTGGAGGTGCTCGTACTGGCGGTACTGGAGCTGCTGGGACTGGGGGTGCTGCTGGGGCTGCTGGCGTTAGTCCTGCTGGAGGTACTACTGGAGGTGCTGGCGGTGCTGGAGCTGACAGTCCTGCTGGAGTTGGTGCTGCTGGAGCTGCTAGAGCTGGAGCTGCTGGGTGTGATGGCGCTGGTGGTTCTGCTGGCGCTGGTG